CTCTAACTCGCTTTCTATTATGTTGCATTAGCGCTGAGAACACGACGTGGTGTGTTTATTACTGAGAGCAGTAAGCCTGATTCAACAGAGCCAAAGGCCTGCAATTACTTGGTTGGATACGCATTTATAGATGTTTGCCTTGTTTTAGGTGTGTGTGTCTCTGGGTGCACATTTTCTTCCTGTTCTCAATCCATTAAACCGCAGGAACCGTCAGGGGTGACAAAATATGGATGAAGGCAGTTTCTGACTTGCAGGAGCAGCAGCGGGCTGCTGGGCCAGCTGGGACTTGAACTCATGACCCAGTGGGTGAACAACACAAAGTCCGCCCCAGTGAACTCGTGCCCTCACAAAGGCCTTCATACCAGAAACTGTGACCAGTTAAATGATGGAAAAATGCCTAAAGGCCCCAAAAGGCTTAATGGGATTGTGGTAGCAGACTGTAATTACAAGTGTGTGTGTGTGTGTGTGTGTGTGTGTGTGTGTGTGTGTGTGTGTGTGTGTGTGTGTGTGTGTGTGTGTGTGTGCCAGCGTGTAAAGTGTAATTATGAAGTCTCACTCCCAGGAGCCGGGGGCTGGCGGGTGCTTTCTGATTTCCCCCGGTGCACACTGAAACATTTCTGCAGCACATGTACACTCACAGACACTTTAATGTATGTGCACATGAGAGCGTCCGTCCTGTACGAGTCCCTCGTCTGTGTGAACGTCTCGTCTTGCTGCTGTCCTTTACCAGCTCTTGACATTTGCAAATGAGTGTTTGTGCGTGTATGAGAGCGTCATGCATGAGCTCCTTTCACATGAACCTCGTGTCTTTTTTCTCAATAACCAACTTAGTCGAGGGTCATCAACCAGAGTTTCAGCTCAAGATGCTGCCTGATTCTCCTTCCTGTGTTTCACAAGTAAGTGTAATTTGAGTTCAATGTTATTTGTTAACCCTTCAAACGCTGAACAGTTTCTGGGCACCTCTGTGGAAACAACAAAGCTAGAATATCATAACTCATAACAAGACAAAAATAAGTTGAATTTCTTTCATTTAAAAACCTGGAATCTGACTGTGAGAGCCCACAGGTGTCTACACACCAGCCTACTAGACAGATGTTTTACTACATGACTCGGATACGGATTCAGCTTGTTTCCTGTAGTTCAGCCCAGTTTAGCTGGTTGCACAGTGGAGACAGAATATGTAGTTTTTATAGAGCAAAGTGATTTGATTAAGAAAAGATCATGTCAGACGAGATGAGTTGGAGAAGTCTCCTCTGTTTACTGGTGTCATTTAGGGGACTTTTAGTTCCACCCAACATGCCTTCTGAACCTGCTGGAGGCTTTCTGGGGTTCAAAGTGTTGAGAAAACAGGCATGTGGTGGAATGTCAATCTATCTGAAGTCAGGTTTGCCCTTTTTAATGAGCAGATTATTATCTGTCCTCCTTTGTAGGCGGCCGTCATTTATGACACAGTTTGATAACGAAGGAAGGCTGTGAGTCTGAAGAGGTCATAAAGAAGAAATCATCATATCACAGGTAAGAGGAGACATAACCACTTACTAACAAACATATTATTGGTATAGCAGCTCCCAGGTTGTGGCTCTGCAGTGAGGACCACGGAGAGCCGCCGTAAGGGGATCTGCAGCATCCCCGAGGTCTTCAACTCACTGTTAACAGTCTCTGTCTAAAAGGCTTCAATAACAATCAGCTAATGGACTACACCTGCAACCCAGCTCAGGTTATTAAGTGTGTGTGTGTGTGTGTGTGTGTGTGTGTGTGTGTGTGTGTGTGTGTGTGTGTGAATGGTGCACCAGCGTTAGGAGGGAAGCTGACACCAGGAGGGTGAACACTCTTCTTCTGTCTCCATCTCACACACAAACACACACACGTCTACAGAAACAACTCCAGAGAAGCTCCAACAGTGTTTTCATTTGGCTGTGAAGCGACGGTGACAGACGTGAGCGAACGCCGTCCCTCCTTCGTTCACACACACCTGCTCCGCCACAGAACAGCAGAGCGCCAGCGAGCTGCAAAAGGCAACCGATCCCATGTAGCGTAGAACTACAGGAAAAGCAAGTGACGAATGGATGTGCTCACCTCATGGGAAGGCACAGACCAGGTGTGTGTGTGTGTGTGTGTGTGTGTGTGTGTGTGTGGTAGGCCTGCAGGGCCACCACCAGCCAGAGGACCAGACGGCTGAATGATTCAGATGTCCGTGCTGAGCGTGTTTGTGTGAATGTGTGGAGTTATAAAATAATAAAAGCCACCATCTCCTCTGATTTCGTCACACGAGGACGAGCTCGCCGGCTTCAGGGCGCGACGCTGCCTCTGACAGCTGAATCCAGGAGTGTGTGTGTGTGTGTGTCACTGCAACACACAGCCTCAGACCAGGTGACACATGGCACCTCTATAATGCCTCCTCGTCCTTCCCTCTCTTTCTCTCCCAGCTTTCCTTTCTTCATTTGTCACTACCTCTCCTTTGACCTCAGCCTCCCTGCTGCCTTTCTCTCACCTCAGCCGTCCTCCCTCTACGCTGGCCTTTTATTTTCTTTCCCTCTCCTGACATCCTTCCAGGCTGTGTTGCTGAGACCTCTGATCTAGCCACAGGGATTTGTGGTCAACACCCTGGTCTGCTATTCTCATTATTCCCCTCTCCTCCTTGCCTCTGTTCATCCATCCATCCCTCTTTCTTTTGCTCTGTGATTCCCCTACGAACCTCTCTTCCTCCCTCTGCAGCCTTCACTTCCTCCTCCTTCTCGCTATCACTTCCATGCTGGACTACTTAACCTTTAGCTTGTTTCTTTTTCTTTCTTTGCTAATTTTTTTCCAACTTTTTTCTTTTTAAACATTCCTCCCGTCACGACGCCTCTCCCTCCCTCTCATTCCACCCACGTCTCCCTCCTCCATCCTCCTCTCTCCATCCATCCTCCCTCCCACAGATTAAAGTGGGAATAGGAGGTTCTGGTCTTGGCCGTGGTCCAGCGCTGTAATGGCCACAGACAGCTCTGCCTGCAGCCATTCAGCGCGACTACGTAACCACATTTGTACCACGTCGAACTTAAATGTACCTGCAGAGGGTCTCAAACTCCTCAAGAGACAGAAACTGAAACTGAGACATCATCTCTGGACCTCAGACAGATTCAGAATCGTCCGATACTTTCAGTTCTACAGATAGTGTCGTATTTTTTCCTCATGATCCCATGAGCAGTCAGATGATCTGACACTGGCCTGTTAATCAAAAGGGAATACAGGATGAATGGCTGCTCCAGCAGTAAGACAGGAACAGAGGAGAACAGAGACACGAGTGGATTAAAGGAGACAGAGTTTGGGTTCACATGGTGTCTTATGCTTCGCCCATATGTCTGTTTGACTTCCCCGTTGCTCTGCTCGTATCTGTCAGTGCAATGCTGGAGAGAATTATGGATGAATAAGACTTTCTCCTTCTGTCTGAAAAGTTTTTGCTAGTTAACGTGTTTTCCATATGTGCCATCTGGTTCACGACAGGCCTTTAATGACATTATCAAATACATTACAGATCACACAAATCACGGTGATGCTGTGTGACAGCAGCGCCGCCCCTCTGGACCGGCTCCCACATGTTCCAAACCACAGTGTGTGTGTGTGTGTGTGTGTGTGTGTGTGTGTGTGTGCACGGTGGCAGTTTTATTAAGAGCTACTCATCTGTGACAAATGTTAAGATGCAATAAGAAAGAGGCTGTGAACATGAATCTGTCCACATGCATGTGGTCCGTTTGTGTCTTGGTTCTTGTGTACGTGCACGCTGGCTTCGTGTGCGGACCGGTTTGGAGGAGCTCAGACACCGGACTGGACTCATACCTTTCTTTTTTTTCTATCCATGTGGCTTCCATTAATATTTGTCCTCCTTTAATACGTCTTGCTCATAAAACACTAATTCAATAATTCTTCCAGATTAATACAAACATACACACACACACACACACACACACACACACTCAGTGAAGCATCGCTGTAGCCAAGTACAGAAAGTCATTTGTTAAGGCAGGATAAACGTGCCTGTCGAGTCCATGATGACTTTCTCAGAGACATGAGGGGGACGGCAGGACAGATGATGGAGTGTCGGGGGAGGGAGAAGAGAGGAGATGGAGAAGAGTGGAAGAAGAGGGTGAATGAAGATGTGAGGAGAGTGAATGAGCCGACAGGGAGGGACAAGTTGATGGATGGAGAGATTTTTAAGGGAACTAGTGAAGGGGTGAGTGAATGAAAATGTCAGGGAGGAGATGGATGGATAGACGTACAGTTAACACCGGGGTCAGCTCACCTCTCTATAATCCCGGCATGAGTAGAAAGCAGCCCAGTGTGTCGCTGCGCCGGTCCACAGCACAAGCGTATCATTTTCACCAAAATGGTTGTAAACTTGGTTTTTTAGGGGCTACTCTTGGGGCAGAACTCGTCAGTGTAGAACATACCCAGACCTCTCTGTGCTGCGTCTGCATTTAGGCCAAATGAGGATCCTTCCTAAAACCAACCTGGTCGTTCTGGAGCCTCGTCTGAAGACAGGATGTTTCCGTGTATGTGCGTGGCTGCATCTTTACCCAAACATGATCCTTACTAACTCTAACCAAGCAGTTGTGGGGATTAAGCTTAAAGGAGTCATTTTGTAGAGAGAGCAGAGAGCGTTGAGTGATGCACACGGGATTCAAACATACATGTTCTGGCTAAAACCCGGCTGCTAACAGACGGTCTTGTGTCCTTCTTCTGTGTCGCGTCAAAGAAATTTGTCAGATAAATCGTGACAGGCACAGGCCAATAGAAAAACGAGGCGTCTTACAATTTCACAGCCTTCATGGGAAAACTAATGCTGCTTTGCTGTGGACCAGCGTGGCCACGAACACGTTTTGGTGTGAGACTGAGTTTTATAAAGTGGCAGCTGCTCAACGGTAAGGAATTAGCAGTGCTGCCGTAAGGCTCTCACACAGATTTATGTTGAGACAAAAGAAAAATATGACATGCTTAGTCACTGATCGCTGCATGAACTGATCCAGGATCTGCTCTCAATTACAAAAACAATTTCCTTGAGTTGTCCCGTGAATGCAGACGCAGCATTTCCACACATTCAAACTACAGCATGGGACACTCTGCCAGAAGATCTTGGCCACTGCTTCCAGGGATCTATACGTCTTTCTAGCATAAAACACGCGCTCACACTTACGCCCTGAAAGATGAGCGAGACGGCACGGAAAGGTCGATGCTGACTGGCCAGCTGAGAAGGGACCAAGATGCTGACAGCATCATTTCATCATCAGATAAATAGCCATCTTTCCCCTCTGCTCTGACTTCACTGCTTTCATTCATCTCTCCCTCCAGGGACAGAAAGCCGTCGTGTAGCGACCACCCAGCGTGCACGTATGCAGTCTGTTCATATTTCTAGTTAATATCCATAATGTACCGGTGATGGTATACGGCCGTAGATCCGTGGGCTGACTGACGACCCTGAGCTGAACCGTCCGATTACTGCACAGACTGACTCACCAGGAGGCCGAATGGCTCAAAGACCCTCACCGTTTGGTTTGTCAGTGTGTGTGTGTGTGTGTGTGTGTGTGTGTGTGTGTGTGTACTCTACCAGAAGCTGCAGCTGATTTATTCTAGACCCTCCTCCTCAACACACACATTTATATGCACACACACACACACTCGCCACGTCTCTCTCGGTATTCGGCTGGAAGCGGCTTTCCAGGGTTGTGGGGGAATCAGGGGGATTATGGGTGGCGACACCAACAGCTAACCTCAAAACATTGTCATTAATCTGTTTTGCATATTGGCTTGTTGTTTCCTGTCCTGATGCCGCCGTGCGACTGACAACACCGACGAGACATTTTAACGAGTGGCTGGTCAGTTTTTTTCTTTTCTTTCTGTAAACCATAAAAACATTCCTGAATCTTCATTTATTGTGAAAAACCTGCAGTTTATTCCCGTAAATGTATTCCAGCATTTTACATGACCATGATTTTTCTACATATATTTTATTATTAAAAAACTGTCGACTGAGCTTAACAGCTGTACACATGATTGAAAAACTAGCTTTACGCTCACTTCCTCTGCCTCTTTCCTCCATCATCTGTCAGTTTTTTTATTCGTTCTTTTCTGTGCTGTTTTATCCATCTATCACTTCTCTGGGAGTTAGCTTCAGCTATAAGCCTTATGGGATCTGCAGTCCACAAAGGAACCCCAGATGGTTAGACGGGATCTCGTGTTTCCCCCTCTGAGGAACATACATGCATCTGTGAGCGTGTGCATTAGCGTTCATAAAGGAATACGGGTTTATAGCGCAGAGCTAGACGTGGCGTTAGACCGCAGGACAAACATGTGCGACCGCTAGCAGGGGGAGAACGGCTGTGATGGAAAAAGCAGCCGCAGCCGCTGGAATGCGCCTCTGCTTTAATTGCAATTCCAACCATTAAGGCTGTCCATACTGTCTGCTTCATTTCTACCTGGCAGCCCCACGCGGCAGCAGCGCCGATGACACATCATGCCTTTACACCTTGGAGAGAAACCGCTGAGAAACCGACCCAATCAGGTCAGCATTCCAGGCAGCGCTCTGACCAGACGCTAACAGGATCCAGATGGGACGTGGACGGCAGAATGTGCGGTGGAAGTGCAGTTGCATACGATGATGTAAGATATCACTTGGAGCTTGGAGACGTGTGCTGGTTCTGGCTCGGTCATAAACGCTTAAATGAAACCAACTGAATGGCAGTGGAACGGCTGTAATTGCAGACACCGGTTAAATTTTGGGCCTGTGGTCAACTCTGGCTGCATATATTCCATCTCGTATTTCTCGCTAACTCTTCCACGAGAATGCGTGCTGAGGCATGTGTGCAACCTAAGAGAAGTTTCTCTAGTTGCCTCGGACTCTTTTGCAGTTGCTCTATGTGTGTGTGCGCCTACCTTGTGATTCTTGCCGTGTCTGTAGACCATCCAGTCCTCTCCGTTAGTGCTGACCTCCAGTTTGAAAGTGGTCACATGGTAGGCCTTCTGAGTTTCCTTCGAAATGGCGCCCTGAGTGGCGATGCCCGTGAGCACCTTCAGAGTATGGAGGTCCACCTGTTGGTGAGAAGAGAGGTACAAGAACACCAACAACAAATCATTAGTTGGCTTCTGAAGGAGTGTCGGCTCCATGCAATGAGACCCACTGCAGGCTGTAACAGAGAACATCTGCAGTAGTCCTACAACGAGATAAAAACTGAACAAAAGGAGGAAAAAAACACAAGCATTAGGTGTTGAAGTGGTTAAAGACAGATGAAGATATATAAATATAAGCACACAGTATACACCTGGACTCCTTCATCTCTCCTCTTCCTCCCTCCTCGTCTCCTTCTCTGTTTCTTTCCTCTCTGCAGCTCTCTCCTGGCAGATCGATAGGAATGACCCGGGGCTCATTTTAATTTCCTCTCATACAATAGCTATAATCACCTCCCATCCTGATTGTGGAAGCTACGCTACGTGTCTGGCATGCTGCTGGCTGTGTTGCATTATACTTGGACAGCACTGGGCTCAATGCCGCTTTCACACTCCTTCATTTCAAGGTCCCTCCAGCAGATCCAACACATTGGTTTTGCTCCACGGTGCCCAAAATGAGTCGACCAAGTGGAACAATGCAGCTAAATAAATAACAATGGACAGTGAAAAAAAATCTGTTTTCACAGGTTCATTCAATATATGAACAAAACAGTATAATTACAGTGTTCTAGGGATTTATTTTAACCCTGATAATGAGCAGCACTTGTCAGCAAGAACTGTGTGGATCAGTGTTTACAGACTGCAGGTTGGACTGGACCACTGAAAGCTAGCAGGAGGTCGTGTACACCACCTAAAGGCTGGTTCAGACGTACGGACAGACAGACGTGTTCCACAAGCTACACAGCAGCAGCTCTTAACAGGAATACAGCTCACCTGCTCACCTGCTCACCTGCTCAACATGATGCACTCACATTTCTAAGCTCTGTCAATTCAAGGCAAACAGACGGAGAGCAGCAGATGAGGAAGGTTCTCCTGGAGGTTTACTGTCCTCTATTGAAGCTGCTGAAACCTGTAGATTAATCAGAACTTGTGTGTGTGTGTGTGTGTGTGTGTAGGTGTGTGTGTGTGTGTGTGTGCTGGATGTCCCACTGGGGTGCAGTACAAAACACTCGGGGAGGCAAAACGCTGTGTTTGTTATCTGTC